CGGGTCTCCCCCTGGCTGGGCTGCCGCCAGGCTCGTATCCTGGTCGCGGAGGCGCACGTCCCCACACCCCAGGGCTGCCCAGGACCTCGCTGATAGCGGTAACTTTACCTCACCTACAGCGGCGGTTAGCTGCGACCCTGGACCACTGCGGGGAATGTCGGATTCGACGGATAAGGCAGTTCCACGGTGGCCTTCGGCGTACATCAGGCGGGCAGCTGCCGTGCAGTTCCACCCTGGATTCCCCACCTTGCTGGCGATGTTCCTTCCCACCAGCTTGGCCTCACGCAGCGCTTCAGCCGGCGCCCGCGCAGCTGTGCTTGGATGGCCCCCTTGCAGCTTCGGTGGCTCCTCATGTTGCGCGGGATGACGGCCCCTGGAGGTCAGCCCGCTTCGAGTGGTTCAGCCTTCGCAACCGCGGCCGCCCCCCCGGGCCCGTCCCACCCCCAGCCTGGTTTTCGACGTTCCCCGGCGGAGCAGCTCAGCTGGCTCGCGCACGCCGCTGGCGCGACCTGGGCTTGGCGCCCCACTGGCGACTGCCCATCGCTTACCACGTCTGGGCACTCAGACGGCATGTTGGACACGCAGCCCACAGCTATCGTCCTCACGCTCCGTTTGGGTTTCGCCACTCGGCACATCTTGAATTCACCAGCATTTTGCCGTGTTGCAAGTGCTCGAGCACCCTGGACGCCCTCAGCTTGCCGCTCCCCCCGCGCAGTCAGCCGCTGCTGGATGAGTGGGCCGGCCGGCTCGCGGCGCGTTTAGCTGCTAATTAGGCCGCTGTCGTGACCCGTAGCGCTTCTGACTGCGCTAGCGCCTTCGCTAGCGGACGCGACCGAAAAAAATAACCCCACCAGCCTGGACCCAATGGGCCATCGCCTCCGGGCCGGTTCGTTGCCCTTGCTCGGGGCTGGTGTGCCCCACTGGATACGGGCGTGGCGTCTCGGAGTGGTCCAGCCTTCCGTCGGACGCGGTGCTTCCGTCCTGGTTCCGTTCCAGCCGACCAGGCAGGTTTGCGCCGTCGACGCGGCCCCGGCCGAGCCGACCTGGCTGGTCTACGCCGTCGACGCGGCCCTGGCCCTTGGCGCCCCCTGGCGACTCGACCAGTGTGTACCTAGCCTTTCCCCGCCACCGTGTCTGTGAGGATCGCACGTGCAGGTTATCCCACCTGTCCCAACATGCACCTCCACCGGAATGGTCAGACGCCGCAGCGCGTAACACAGAATTCCCTGGCATTTTGCCGCAGGGCTGCACGATGCCCGAGCTTCCTTGGGTGTTGCAGTTCAGCCAGCCAGCCCCCCGCCGCCGCTGCCCCGGCTGCTGCTTTTGTGAGCTGGCCCGGCCGGCTCGTGGTGCGCCCAGCAGCTAAATAAGTTTCCCCGTCGGCCCGGATTCCTTGTTGGCCGCCTGCGCTCTTCGCTGGTGGCCGCGACCAAAAAAGTAACCCCACCAGCCCTTCGCTCCTGGACCTGGTTCCTGGCAGCTGCAGCCAGCACCACCTCGCGCAGTCCAGTCAGCTTAGGTGCTGCTTAGGCCGTCGGTTAGTCGGCGCGCTAGGCAATTAGGTTCGCGCGTAGCCCGCCCGACCCTTGACGCTGCTGGCGCGCTCACCCGCGGCCGCGACGGAAAATATATCCCCACCGGCCCATCCAGAAACGATGCCCAGAGGAAGTGCCTCGATCAGGGAAGTGGGCAGCACGCAGAGGAAGGGCCCCCAGTGGAGGCCACTTGGAGCGTGTTGGGGGCCTCTTGGCGGTCCTGGGCGCCTCTTCGAGCGTCTTGGGTGCTTCGGAGAGCTTCTTGGGGCCTCTTGGGGGTCTCTTTGGGGCCTCTTGGGGGCATATGGGGCGCCTGTTGGGGCCTCCTGGGGCCTCCTGGGCGCCTCTTGGGGCCCTCTTGAAACGCTCTTGGGAGGGAGCCTTGGGGGCGCTCTTGGAACCCTCTTGGGCCATCTTGGGGTCATCTTGAAGCCTCGGATGGCCATCGGAAGCGAAAAGGCGAGCAAACCCAAACCATTGATTTTCTGGAGGTTTTGGAAGGATTTTGGCCTCTTCGGGGCCTCCTTGGGGAACTCTTTGGCCATTTGGAGCCGTCTTGAAACGGTCTTGGGGCCTCTCGGAGCATCGTGGGAGCCGTCTTGGGGCATCTTGGGATATCTTGGGCCATCTTGGAGGTCATCTTGGGCTCTCCCAGGCGCTCTTGGAGTCATCTGAAGCAGTGCCCCCCCCAGGAGGCCCAAATGTGGCCAACACCTTAGCGAATCAATGATTTTGGCATTCTCGCCGAGGCCTCTTGGAGCGTCTTGGGTGCCTCTGGGGGGTCTCTTGGGGCCTCGTGGGGGTCTCTCGGGAGCCTGTTGGGGGCATCCTGGGGGCCTCTTGGGGGCTTCTTGGGGCCACATGGGGCCATCTTGGGGCCATCTCGGGGCCTCTTGGGGCCTCCTGGGCGCCTCTTGGGGCCATCTTGGAAGAGATCGATCACAGGAGGGGGGGGGTGCTAAACTACCCCCCCCCCTAGGAGGCCAAAGTGGGGCCAACACCTGGGTAACACCAATGATTTTGGCTTCCTCGCCGAGGCCGTTTTGGACGTTCCAGCGCGTCGCGGAACCCCCCGTCCAGGTCCAGGGGAGGGGGTTAGGGGGATGGGTAAAGCCCTCCCCGAAGGGGAACAGGATACTCCCTAAACCACCTACGCCGAGAGGGCTGGTGGGATTAACCCTCCCTCCAAGCTCCCTCTTCATAGGCCCCTGCAGCGGTTCATTTCCATTGACAGGATAGCCTCGTTGGAAAACAGCCGTGTGAAGACCTTGAAGCACGCCAAAACGTTGTTCCCGGGATTTCAACGCCACGGTTTAACCTGGCAGCTGCGTCTTGACGATCTGGTATCGTGTCAGGACGCCATTTCTGGGACTTCAACCCCGCGAATCCGCATAACTGTTGCACCCGCGTAATCCAGAATCCCGCCAACACGTAATTTCTGGTACGTTGACCATGGGAACCAGTGCGATTCTTGCATGTTGTTTGAAACGAATGTGCGCGGTGCTAAGGCGAGGGCCACAGTTTGAAACCCACCCGCCGTCAATCCGAGAAGCCCTTTCACATTTATAACGAATGTGCGCGGCGCTAATGCGAGAGCAACATGTCGAACAGGAGCCGCCCTCAATCCGCGAAGCTCTCGCACATAAAAGCGACAGTGCGCGGCGCTCGGGCGAGAGCGGCATTTTGCAAAGGAGCCGCCCTCAATCTGTGACACCCTTGCAATTTTTGAAAACGATTGTGCGCAACGCTAAAGCGAGAGCCACATTTTGAAAACGACCCGCCCTCAATACATGAAGCTCTTACACATGTGTAACATTCATGTGTGCGGCGGCAAGGCGAGAGCCACATTTTGAAAACGACCCGCCCTCAATCCGTGAAGCCCCTGCAAATGTTTGAACATAAGATGCGCGGCGCTAAGGGGAGAGCCGCAGTTTGAAAAGGAACCGCCCTCAATCCGTGAAGTCCTAGCAGTTTTTGAAGCAGATGTGCGCAACGTTAAGGCGAGTGCCACATTTTGAAAACCACCCGCCCTCAATCCGTGACGCTCTTGGAATCTTTGGAAACGAATTTGCGCGGCGCTAAAGCGAGAACCACATTGTGAAAACCACCCGCCCTCCATTTGTGAAGCTGTTGTCGCTTTTTAAGCTTCAGAGTCATAAGTGGCGAGGAAGTCTCAGGCGAAACGCCCGCCCCGCCCTAGAAAATGGGGTCGGGGTGCGACAGGGGGAATTGATTAACAAGCGGCACCTGTGCCATGGCTTTTGTGCAACAGGGAATGGGGGAGGAGGGGGAGGTGGAGGAGGAGGGGGGGAGAGGGGGCAAGACATCGCCCTTCGGGGCCCAGCAACGGGGCCCAAATCCCAGGTGGGGAGGGGTGGGGGGTGGGGGGGGAGGTAGTGTGCGTCGCGACGCGGAATATAATGACCGGAGCGGAGGGTGCACGGGGCGGAGGTCTCATTGGGGCGCTGGGGGCGCGGGAGGAGGGGGGGGGGAGGTGGTGGTGTGCGTCGCGACGCGGAATAACATGGTCGGGGCGGAGGGGGCGCTGGGCGGGGCTTTGGGAAGAGGGCCACTGGGCGGGGGTCCAACTGGAACGCTGGGGACGGGAGGGGGGAGGGGGGGAGGTGGCGTGCGTCGCGACGCGGAATAAAATTGTCGGGGCGGAGGGGGCACGGGGCGGAGCCCCCACTGGGGCGCTGGGGACGCGGGGAGGGAGGTGGGGAGGCGGTGTGCGTCGCGACGCGGGATAAGCGTTCGTGGCGGAGGGGGCAGTGGGCGGGGCCCCCCTGGGGCGCTGGGGACGCGGGGGGGGTCGGGGCAGAGAGCCGCGGCGCGGGGGTCCTACTGGCGCTGGGAACGCGGGGGGGGGGGGGGGGGCGACGCGGAATATAGCGTTCGTGGCGGATGGGGCAGTGAGCGGGGCCCCGGGGCATTGGGAACGCGTGGGGGCTCGGGGCAGAGAGCCACGGCGCGGGTGTCCCACTCTGGCGCTGGGGGCGCGGGGGGGGGGGGCGACGCTGAATAAAGTAGTCGGAGTTCCAAACGCCCTGTGCAAGATAATCAGGAAACGGAAATGAGGAAGAGGGGGGGGAAGAGGAGGATGAGGAGGAGGAGGAGGAGGAGGAGGCGGAGGAGGAGGAGGAGGAGGAGGAGGATCAGGAGCAGGAGGAGCAGGAGGAGCAGGAGGACGAGGAGGAGGCTCCCGCGAGGGGCCCGAACGCCACAGACGCATTGGCCCAAAACCCTCGAGGTGCGAACTTCACTCGGGGTCGTTCCCGAGGAGGCTTGCCCCATCGCTCCCATCCCGCTCCTGCTGCCCTTGCTCGTCCCCCGCCTTCTTCTATCCTGCTGCTGCCGCTCCTGGTCCCTCCTGTCCCTCCCCCCCTCTCCCCCCCTCCCCCCCGTCATCCCTCCGTCCCTCCGTCCTTCTCCGCTCCCCCCCCTTACCCTTCTCCGCCCACGAAGGACTTGCGGACAAAGTACTGCACACAGACTGGTGCTTGCGTGAAGGAGCGCCCGCGTGCCTCTTCACCACCTGGGCCTCGTCGTCTTCGTCGTCTTCGTCGTCGTTATCCTCCTACTCGTCCCTTCTCTCCCTCATGCTCCCCAAGGTGCAGGAATGAGGATGAGGATGAAGCATGAAGAAGGGGTGGGGGCTGCTCTTCCTAATCCTGCAGATCCCGTCGTGCTGCTTCTGATACTGCTGTTGCTCCTGTTGCTGTTCCCTATCCGTCCATCCGTCGCTTCTTTGAGAGCGCTCGCAATCTGCACGATGGATGGCCAGATGCCGCGCTCGCGCACGTTACTGGCCAGGTCAATTCAGACGCTTTTATTCGTTATCATTTTTCTGTGGTGCGTGTCACCGCGGGTGGAGCCAAGGTTTTGATGCTCGCCACTTGAGCAAAGGCTCATGGCGGGTCATCTGCCTCCCGAGAAGTCGTTCCGTCTTGGTGTGTATGTGTCTGCCCCGTCAGCACGGACGCCAGGCGTATGACTTGCCTGGAGTCAGCCAGGGGTGCAGCAGACCTTGCGCCGCGCACAGCAAAGGCGCCGTTGTGTGGCATACAGCCAGGGCGGTCGGGAACGTCAACGGAGGACCGCACCGACCGATCGCCGAGGTGATCAGTTAGCTTCCCCCGACTTCGGTAGCAGCTCATGGGAGCCTGGTATACCTTCTCACTGCCGTCTTTGGCGTCGATCAGCGTGTGGGAGTCGACGAGATAGCGCCGTCGATCAGCGTCGATTTAGCGTCGGTTAGCGCCGATTTCGCGTCGATTTAGCGTCGGTTCGCAGGAGCCGACACGATGGTGTGGGAGGCTCCCACGAGTTGCCACGGGACCCGACCGGGGTGCTGGCCGACCAAGGGGCGAGGCGTCGCCTTCGAGCGACGACAGCGTCGCCGCGGCCGCCGTCGTCAGGCCGCAGCTCGCAGTTCTCGAGGGCGCCAGCTCGCCGAAGTCGCTGACGTCGATGCCAGGCTGGCTCGGCACGCGCCGCGCCAGGCCCCGCGGGCCGGCTGCGCTGGCTGTGGGCGCGGCCGGCGCCAGGCCGCCCAGGCGCCGATGGCGTGGCGCAGTGGGCGCGGGCCAGCGCGCGTAGTCGCCCGTCCCGCGAGAGGTTCGCCGTACCTGGTACGGCGCCCGAAACCTCTCGAACCAGGGCGGCGGCTGAGGGCGCCGACAGGGGGGGGGGAGGGGGCGCCGGGCCAGGGGGTGGCAGCAGCGACCTCGAGCGCCCAGTCATTGCCCATCCGGGCCCGGGTGCCCCTCTCCGCCCGGGAGGGTGCGGGTTCTCTGGCGAGGGCCAGTCGCCGATCAGTCGGCGATGTGTCGCCAAATCCAAGTCAGCGTTCCCACCGGAGCGAAGCCCCCCCTGTAGTTCCCCTGTCAATTTCGTGGGAGGTTGGAAAGGTCATTGGCCCCGGTTCTTATTTGGAGCTGGTCTGATTTCGTCTGGCTTATTGTGGCTCTGAGTCGTGCACGACGTTCCCTTTTATCCAGCTTGCTAGTTCCTCGTGCCTACACAGGCGTTCGTGGAGCTGCCACATGGCATCGGCGATGGAGCGTTGCCATCTTCGCCTTCCAGCCCTCGCTGGCGACTGGGAAGCGTCCGAGGATGCTGAGGGGCCGTTCGCTGCTGGCGGTTTTCCGTCTCGGCCGGGGTTTCGGGCCTCGCTGGCACGTGGGCTGACTGGAGCGCTCGGACAGACCCCCTCGCAGGCCAGGGCAGTTCTGCGCTTTGACGATTGCCACAGTGTGCATTGCGCTTGCAGTGAGATCGACGGAAACTAGGACGGCCGGCCTCAGCCTCGCGGACTTGTTCCATCATCATAGTTTTTGAATGCCTTGCATTGTTCCATGCCTTCTGGTCGTCTCGCAAGGTATACTCGAAAACCTAGCTTAAACAATTGTCACGGCGATGACGGTGTGCTGATGGTCGTGCTGGTGGTTGAGCTGTGGGGTAGTGCGGAAGAGTTGGATAGGGATGCACGATGCCCCCAACACACGCCCCCAGCACACATTCCCCAGGGGGAAAGGGATGCACAATGTCTCCCAGCACACCCCCCAGCACAACCCCCCAGTACAATCCCCCAGCACAACCCCCTACACACCCACCAGCACAACTCCTCAGCACAACCCACGAGCACAATCCTGTACAACAGCCCCCCAGCACAAACTACCCAGCACAACCTCCCTGCACAACTCCCCAGTACAACCCCCCAACACAATTCCGAGAATCCCCCAGGCACAACTCCCCGCTCCCCCCCCCCCCCCAGCACCCCCCCCCCACAAACTCCAACCTTCCACTGCACCCCCCAGCAAAACCCCCCAGCAAAACCCCCAAGCACAACGCCCCAGCATGACCCCGCAGCACAACTCGCAGCAGAATCCTTCAACACAAACCCCCAGCACAACCCCCAAGCACAAAGCCACGGCACAATCCCCCAGCACAACCCTCCCAGCAACCCCCCCCCCAGGACAACCCCCCAGCATAGCCCCCCAACGCAGATCCGCAGCACAACCCCCAGCACACACATCCCTGCGCAACCCCCCAGCACAATCCCCTAGGACAACCCCCGAGCACAACCCCCCAGCGCAACCCCCAATAACGACCTCCCAGCGCAACTCCCCAGCACAGCCCCCCAGCAAAGCCCCCCAGCGCAACCCCCCAGCACAACCCCCCGACCCCCCAGCACAACCCCCAGCACAACCCCCTAGCATATGCCCTCACCATAACCCCGCAGCACATCCCCATCAGCAGTACCCCCCAGCACAACACCCCAGCACAATCTCCCAGCACAGCCCCCCAGCACAACCCCCCAGCACAATCACCCAGCGCAACACCCTAGCACCACCCCCCGGCCAAGTTCTGTAGCACCCCCCCTGGCACGACCACCCAGCACAATCTGCCCGCACAACCCCCAGCACAGACCTCCAGCACAACCCCCCAGTAAAGATACCCAGCGTAACCCTCAGCACCCTCAGCCCCCCCAAAACCACCCCCCAGACCAAACCCCAGCACAACCCCAAGCACAACCACACAGCAGAACCCCCCAGCACAGCCCTCAGCACACCCAGCACAACCCCCCAACGCAACCCCTCAGCGTACCCCCCCAGCACAACCCCCCAGCAAAACCCTCCCAGGACAACCCCCCCGCACAACCAGCTCCTTGGGCCGTCTTGACGATCTGGGAGCACTCTTGGACTGTCTTGGAGCGCTGGCATCCCGAGAAGCAAGACCGCTAAAATCCTTCAAACACACGGAAGGTACATGATTTAAGCATTTTGGGGCCGTCATCACCGCTTACGCGCCACACAGTGGACATCATGAACACGTTAGGCGCGACTTCTTTTCCCACCTGGACGCGTACATCCGGCCGACAACGCCTCACAGCATTACCGTGATTGTGGGGGGTTTCAATGCTAGATTTTTGGCCCAGAATAAGGGCGAATAACACATCATTGGGACGTATGTCTACAACGGGAAGTTTGCGAAACGCACCGTTACACAGGTCGCCAATCGCCAACTTCTGATGGAATGCTGCCACGGCAACGACATGGCGATCGCGAGCACATTCTTTAATGTACCGGAGGACGAGCGTATCACGTACATGGATTTGGGAGTGGCTCCGATGGACCCTATCTGTCCTGAGCGGTTTGCACAAATCGGTCATATCTTATGCAATTCGTCTGTTTTGCCATGGGTATTGGATTGCAGATATCATCGAAGAGCGGCCCTGAACAACCACCATTCCCTGACCACGGCGAATATTGCATTCCAGTTTCAGAATCATAGCCAAACCCACCCGCCACGCTTAGACGTGTCATCTTTGAAGGAGCCCGGCGTGCAACGAGATTTCGTATCCAAGTTTACGCTAGCTTGGGGCGATGCTGTTTTGGGGGGCTCTCTGGATGACGTGGCCGGGGCGGTGGAGCAGGCTTTCTCATCCGCTGCATTTTCTTTGAAACGCAGGCATACTGTAGCAAAGCGTCCATGGATATCTCAACATGCTTTGGATCTGATTGAGAAGACGAGCGCATGCCGAACAACAGGGCGATCCATCGACGAGCAAGCGTTGAACAAGGAAATCCGGCAAACCGCGCGACAAGACCGGTCAAATTGGATCAACGCAACATTGGTTGGGGGACATGGGAGCGCCGTCGAAGAATTGAGGAACAACACGCTGGAGCCAGACATTTTTCAGGAAAGTTGTCCGACAGAGCGGGCCGACCTGACGCGCTAGCAGAGTATTTTGAACAAATCCATTGGCAAATGCGTTTTCCAGACGTGGCCCCAGAGGCAACGACGAAGCTGGGAGACGCGCTCCCCGTCGACACATCGACTTTCTCTTTGCAGCAAGTGCGGGACGCATTGCGAAAAATGAAAAAGGGGAAAGCGGCGGGGCCCGATGATATACCGCCCGATTTTTGGAAAATATTGGCCAACAGCGACGAAACATGCGCAGCACTATTACACGTATGTCAAGCATGTTGGGGAACGAAAACATCCCAACGAAATGGAGGAGAGCCAACGTTGTTTTGTTATTCAAAAGGTGACGCAACCCTCCCAAGCAATTATAGACCGATCTCTCTGTTGGCAGTGGGGTACAAAACTTTGGCTTTGATGATACGCCGCCGTCTTATACAAGGAGGGTCAGAGCGAAGAATGCGGCCATCACAATTTGGCTTTCGGCCTGGGTGCGGCGCGGCGGACGCACTGATGCTGATTGGGCACATTATAGATGCAGCACGTTCAAGTAAGAAGGATGGCGTTGTATTACTTCTGTTGGGCTAGGCAAAAGCATTTGATCGATTAGAGCCAGTCTGTCTCTGTAAGGCGTCGGAAAGATTTGGACTGCCATCTCCTATGGTGCATATGATACGAGGTATATATTCTGAGAGATACTTCGCTATAGTTGACCACAGTGGGCGTTCGACGGAACGTAGACAGTTTACAGGAATTGCGCAAGGCTGCCCTTTATCACCATGTCTAGTCATTGCCGTTCAATCAGTAATGTTGCACGACGTATTCGACAGCCTGCCTTTCTTGGAAGAGCCCGCGTATGTCGTGGCAAGGGACGTCTTGTGCGCTGACGACGCGCTGCTGCTTTCCAAACACCCGGGAAATTTACAATTGATATTGGGCGCACGTATTTCAGAGGGGCAGGAGTACGGCCTGGAATTAAACAGGGACAACACAATACCCATCCAAATTTCTAATGCGGGCGTGGTGCGGTAGCCGAATGGGAATCCGATCGAAACTGCGAGAGACGCAGTGTACCTGGGAGGCTTGATTTCTTGCGACGGTCGCGCCGGAAATGACTTATCTTGAAGGCTGGGGGAATCGGGCGCCATCTTTCGCGATTTGAGCAAAATCTGAGCGCGCACGTTTTCAGCGCCGCGCAGGAAAGTGGAGTTATTTCCCGCGTGTATCGTCAGCAAGCTCTTATATCCACTAGATTCTCTATGGCTTTTGAAATCTGACAGAGCAGAGATTGATGCTTTTCAGTGCAAATGCCTCAGACAGTTTTTGAAAATGCCATGTTCGTACATATCACGGTTATCTAACACCGCACTTCTGGAGAAATCGTGTATGGAAACGTTCTCTACAATCCTGCGCGATCGGCAGGTCCAACTATACCGGAAGATCGTTTCCTACGGCGCAAGTTCATTAGTGAGACACGTGGTATGCAACCCCGACGGCACGCCTAAACAATCGGCTTTCCAGAAACGCAGGGGCCGCCCGCGACAACTATGGGCGCATTCAGTGTACCACATGGTGTGAAGGCTGATCTGATCCAATCTCGTCGGCTTCTATCTTCTTCAAATTGGCGCCGGCGTTTGGCCGTGCCCTCTCTCGCCTGTCGCCGCTCTACACAGCGTTTGGCTGTTCGTTTGCTTTGCCTACGCGTCCACTCGGATGCTCGGCTGCTGTGCTGTGCGGGGCCGTTTTAGAAGTATTCTTGGAACCCACTTGGGGCGTCTCGGTGGCCCCTTGGGGCGTCTGGGGGCCATCTTGGGCGTCTTGGAGCGGTCTTTCGGCGACTGGGCCCCCTTGGGCCGTGATGGGGGCCTCTTGGGTCTTCCTGATCCGTTTTAGGGCTTATTTTTGCTAGGGTACGGTCGCGCGGGAACACGTGGGAAACCAGAGACAAATCGAGAATTTGGGGTCCAGAATCAAGTCCCTTATTATTCAGTCACGCAGGACCGAGGACGAATAACTCCAAGGGACTTGAGGATTCCAACTCGTGCCCTGGGCACGGCGGCAGATAGACGGGGCGACCGCGGGACAACCATGGAACATCTTCAGGACAGCCTTGGGTCAACCACGAGACAATATCGGCACGCCCCAGGACAACCGCGGGATGATCGCGGAACGACCACGGGACAATTACTCGACACCACGGGGCAATCACGGGACAACCACGTGACAATCACCGGACAATCGCAGGACAACCACGGGACATCACAACATTGACGGCAGAATCGCGGGATGATCCCGCGCATGCTTTGGGACAATTTTGTGACAACCGCTTGACGACCACGGGACAATCCCGGGCACGCCCCAGCGCTGGGGGAACCGACTCATTTGGGCGTGACCTGGGCCTAGCTGGGGCAGGGACTCGCGCTGCTCCGCCTCGCCCGCACGCTCGCCACGCACGACGCGACAGCGAAACCGAAACCGATTGTTGGTTGGGGGCCTCCGTTTCGCTCTTTGGTCTTCCCCCCCAACCCCATTAAACCACGCGGGATCACGATGGGGCACCAGAAGGCTAGGTCGCCGATAGAAAAAGCGGACCGCTCGGGGAGGAATTCGACCACTACTGCGTGTGGCTCAACACGGCCATCGGCAGAGGCAACCACCGAGAGTTTGTAGGTCTTTGCGTGGGGAGGAATGAGGAGGGCAAGGAGGAAGACGAGGGCACTCATCTTACATGCAGTGGCCCAAGATAAGAGTCTGCGCTTGAGCTCATACGTTGGCTTTGATTCTAGACGTTCCGGGTAACCCCATCAGCCCATCCAGAAACGATGCCCAGGGGAATTGCTCTGATCAGGGTTGTGCAGGAGCATGCCGTGGAATGAAGTTCCTAGCCGTTGTACCGCACGGCGGGACGCCAAGCTTCAAAAGAGCAAGCTTGAAGCTTCAGCCTTGAGCTTGAGCTCGAAGCTTCAGATCTTGTCCGGCTGGTCTGGTTGGTCTGGTTTGAGCTTAGTGCTGAAGCTTTAGCTTCGGATTCTGTGGTTTAGAGGATGTCCTTGGAGGCCAGACCAACCACTACGACCGAAAAACAGTTTTTTTGCATTGCAGCTTTTTGAGCAATGCATTTTTCTTTGCATCTGGTCTGGCTGACCTGGTTGATATGGTTTGAGCTTAGCTTACTGCTGAAGCTTTGGCGTAGGATTCGGGCGAGATTGGTCTAGGGGAGGTCCAGGGAGGCAGCGCCAACCACTACGACCGAACACCGTGTTTTGATCATTGCAGTTGTTTGTTGCATTGCAGTTGTTTTGCATTCAGTTGTTTTGCATCGGGTCTGGCTGGTCTGGTTGGTCTGGTTTGGGCTTATCGCTGAAGCTTTAGCTTCGGATTCGGGCGAGAGTGGTTTAGGGGAGGTCCTGTGAGGCAGTGCCAGCCACTACGACCGAAATACAGTTTGTTTTGCCTTGCGGTCTTTAGCATTGCAGTTTTTTTTGGCAGTGCTGTTTTGTTGTTGCATCTGGTCTGGCTGGTATGGTTGGGATTCGGGCGAGTGTGGTTTAGGGGGTGTCCTGGGGGACAGCGCCACCACTACGACTGAGCCACAGTTTTTAGCATTGCAGTTTTTTCGATTTGCATTTGTTCCGCAATGCAGTTTTTGTGTGCATCGGGTCTGGCTGGTCTGGTTGGTCTGATTTGGGCTTAGTGCTGATGCTTTAGCTTCGGATTCGAGCCAGAGTTGTTTAGGGGAGGTCCAGGGGGGCAGCGCCAAGCACTATGACAGCACACCAGTTTTTTTTGTGCATTTCAGTTTTTTTTGCATTGCGTTTTTTTTTTTTTTTTTTTTTTTTTTGTTTTTTAAATAATTTTATGCACAGCCTTTTTTGTTGCATCTGGTCTGGCTTGTCTGGTGGGTCTGGTTTGAGCTTAATGCTGAAGCGCTTCAGCCCTAAGCTCGCGTTATTTACTCTGGAGTTCGTTACCAAAGCAACATAGCGCTCTTTGCATTGCAGTTTGCTCAGAATGGCAGTTTTCGGGTATTCAATGGCTGTTTCCGAGCTCCGTCGAGGTTTTCGCTGGTCTGTTCTGGGTGGTCTCCTCCCCCCTCTCCATCCTCTCCCCGCTCTCCCTCTCTCCTCCGCTCTTCTCCGATCCCCTGCCTTGGTATTGCTATCTGCTTTCCCTTCCAAAAATATGTTCCCGGCCTCACCCCCTGCCCCTCCATCTCTTTCCTTTATTTTCCCCTCTGCCGTTCTTCTTTCCGTCTTGATGCATTCCCCCCTTCTGCGAAGTCGTCCTTTTGTGCCTCCCTCCCCTCCCTTCCCTTCCTTCTCCTTCCACCTTCCCTTCCTCTTCCATGTTTGCTGGGTATGTCGCAGGTCTTGCCGTAGTGGAGTTCTGCACGCAGATTTGCTTCATCTACCTCTCCTGGTGAGTCGGGCCTGCAATGCGTCCACGTGAGGCGTACATGCAACGCGATTGCGGGATGAGAGTCTTCGAGGATATGAGTGACCCGCCCTTCCTTGTTTGATCGTTTGTGAAGCCTTCTCTTGGAAGCTTGCAACGCCTCAGTGGTCACACCATTCCTGTCATGTTGACGTGATCCTCCTGCAGTCTGGGGGAGGAAGAGGAAGAGGAGGAGACAGAGGGCAATGAGGAGGCGGGGGAGGAGGATACTGCTTACAGGGGGGGATGGGTAATCGCACTGGACACCTGACGTTTCGGAGATGCAGAAGGCAAGGCCGAGGGTTTGGCAGAGACTCGGGCAGGCGGGCCTGCGGGAAAAGAAGTGGGAAGGATCGATCGGGGAGGAGGATGATACTTGGTGGCGCCCCTCCCCCAATCCCCCGCCCCTTCCGTAATTACTCAGTCTTCATTCTACTCTCCTCTGTCCCCTGAAGATGGCCTGGGAGTCTCCCTTCCTCGTCCGCGTATCGTCTTCTCATTGTCCGATATTCCCCAAGCAGTGCTTTGCATTTTGAGCTTCTTGTCCTTTCGAAGGAGCTGTGCCTGCGGGCCGGTCTGGCGGCTCTGCGATCGCCGTCGCCGCCACGTCGCCGCTGGCGTCTCCGTGCTCGCCGTCGTGGCCCCGTCGCCGCCTCGTCGTTGCTTGCGTTGCTTTGCGTTGCTTTGCGTTGCATTGCATTGCGTTGCTTTACGTTGCTTTGCGTTGTTTGACGGTGCTTTGCGTTGCTTTGCTTTGCATTGCGTTGCACTGCGTTTCTCTGCATTGCCTTGCATGTCATTGCATTGCATTGTGTGGTATTGCTTTGCGTTGCATTGCTTATCATGTCATTGCGTAGCTTGGCGTTGCTTTGCGGTGCTTTGCATGGCACTGCTTTGCATTGCGTTGTTGTGCGTTGCTTTGCATTGCTGTGCATTGCTTTGCGTTGCATTGTTTTGCGCTGCCGTGTATTGCCCTGCGTTGCTTTGTCTTGCTTCGCATTGCTTTGCGTTGCTCTGCATTGCTTTGTGCTGCTTTGCTTTTCATAGCTTTGCATTGTGTTGCTTAGATTCCATCACATATATTGCATCACCTAGATTGCATCACATAGAGTGCACAACATGTATGTCACAACAGCACAAATTGCTCCACACAGAGTGCACCACATAGGTTGCTCCACACATTTGCTAGAATCGCGATATTGGTTCCACGCTGGCTAGCATTTCTTACTCTGTTCGTTTCAATCGGAGTGCTTTCGGCGTCTCAGAACTGAGCTGCCGCTGCAGCGTGGGCCTCATTTTAGGATCGGCGCTCTACTCCCATCGTCCAGAATGGCTCAGGAGGGAAAGAAACATGCAGACACAATTTATCGTCGACTCCCAGGGAAAATATGGGAAAATATGGGAAGTGGGAGGGAAGGCAGAACCCAGAAACTACGGATAAATATGGGGATTCCTGTTAGTTGTGTGTATTTATTTGTATGTTTGTGGGCCCTTTCAATGGCGCTCGGGCCCCAGCGCGGGGTACTTCTCTGGATCTGAGTGGCCTCCTCGTCGTTGTTCCCCCGCTCCTTTCCCATCCTCCGCTTTCCCCTGGCCATCCTGCTTCCCCGATTCTCCAACTCCTGCTCCTGCTGCTGGTGCTGCTCCTCCTCGTTCCTTTTTCCGCCTCATCCTGCTCATCCTCTCGCTCATCCCCCTGGTGCCACTCTTCCCCTCCCTCCTGCCCCCTCCCCTTCCCCGCGAAGAGAGAGCGAAGAAAGAAGAGGGGCGACGAGAGCGTAAGCTCAGGGGCTTGCCAGAAAGGGTGGATCCAGGTCTCCACAAAATTCGATGAGCCTGAATGTTAGGCTGCATCGTTGGAGACGGAGCTCGTTCCTGGGAAAGTCGCATGATGCAAGCGCCTCTGGGAAGCAGCCTGATGCATCGTTTTCGGGTCCTGATGTTGGCATCGCAAGGTTCCTTGTTCATGTGCATGTTTCGCGACTTACGCCCAGGTGCATGGCGCTGTCGCTGGTGCCGTACACGAGCATCGGCTCATGGGCGAACGGCGCATCTCTCTATACAGGAGGAAGTCCAAGAGGTTTGTTGTATTTGTGCAATGGGGCATGTCGGAGTATCGGCACGTGTACGAACGGATTTGTTTGAACCGGAGGGAGTTCAAAAGTTGGATTTCTCTCAGGGGACGTTCATGAAACAATCTTCTTGGCAATCGTTGTCCTGTTTTGGGTCTTCGATGATCCTCAGGACGGGTGGGAAGAGCGGAGCCAGGCGGAATAAAAGTGGGGTGCCATGGTCGTTCATGGAGGACAAATTGTGGAGTGTGTGTGTGTGTGTGTGTGCGTGTGTGTGTGTGTGTGTGTGTGTCTGTGGGAGGCTTCAGGTCGGTTCCGGGCAAGAAATTGTAAAGTGGAGTCTCCGAAAACAGGTCCCACAGGGTGGGGGTGCTGAGGCGTGGTTCCGGGCAAGTGCAGGGGGGTGAAGGGTCAGGATCGGTTTTGGGGGGACACTGTCGGTGGGTGGCCCAAGAGCCAAGGCTCAGCGGGAGGGGGGGCCGTGGCCAGGTGGAGGAGGGCGGAGATGGGTCTGGGCTGGAGAGGGCATCGCACACGCCTCCCGTGCGGCGGATTCGTGTGCGAGCAGGCGGGACCCACTGCGGGAGGGCAAGCGAAGCATCAATGGCACGCCGCCGTTGTGAGCCCGTCAGCGTGTTTTTTGCTTTCGCTGCTGCCTAGAAATGCCAGGTGTTTCTTCCACGGGTAGCGCGCTGATGGCTTCGCTACGGCGTTTTGTTAGTCAGCGCTCTCCTCGCCACTAGATTCTTAGGCTTACGCCACACCGCCGACCCCTTGTTTATGCCAATCGGGGGGCAGTAGAAGCTGCGAAGGGGTGAAAAGGCGAGTGATATTTGTTTGGTGTCTGTTCGCCGCCACTGCCAGAGGGTCTCGGGCAGTTCCGCGGGGGTGTCCGAGCGGACGGCGACACCGCGGGCGGTCGTGGTCTCATCTGGGGCCATCTGAGAGGCATAATGGAGCCAGGTTGGGCTCGGGAATGTCTTCGAGCCGTTTCGGTAGCGGTCGGGAGTTTTTTTGGGGGACTGTCCAGGAGTCATTATGGGTCAACTTGGCCATGTTTTTGGGGGTTGTTCATCCCCAACTTGGCCATGTGCGAGGCCACGGCGCGTGCAAAGGGTGTGCCGGCATGGGGTATACTTGCATGCGAATCTTCCCACTGGGCCCCACGGTGGACGTATTCTGGAGCCACGACACGATCGACGTGTGTGTGCGCTTGGGGTTGGAAGTTTACGGGACCGCGGGTACTGGGGCTATGGTTGGAGCGCGCCGTGGAGCCACGAAATCTATGAGGGACGTGCCCAATGTTCGCGGGGAACCGCGCGTATACTCGGGTTTTGGGGCCTTTCATTCAAGTTGCCGCGTGCGGGGTGTGCCAAATTGGAGGCATGTTCACTAGATGGAAGCGCCACGGCACCTCGATTTCTGCGGGGTCGGCGGATGCTGGACGTAAGTTGTGGATTTCGAAACTGGGGCTGATCCGTTATTGGGCATGCTGGGGTATTCGGAGGAGTGGGAGGAGGAGGATGAGGAGGAGGAGGAGGACGAGTGACGCTGCGAGCGTAAGAGCGGGGCGAAGGAGACGGAGCAGGAGAAGGAGGAAGAGGAGGAAGGGGAGGAGAAGGGGGGACGAGGAGGAGGCGGAGGAATAGGAAATGACATTGAGCTTCTCATTCCTCTCTGGGATTGGCCGCCTGCGTGTGCGGCTCGACTCTTGGGGCGCTCTTGGGAGGCTTGTTTGGGACTTCGGGGGCCGTCTTGGAGACCTCTTGGCTCGTCTTGGGGCCATCTTGGGCGTCTTGGAGGGGTCGTTTGGCGTCTCGAAGCCTTCGTGGGCCGTCTTGGAGGCCTCTTGGGTGCTTCTTGGCCCGTCTTGAGGCCCTCTTCGACCCGGAAAAGCTCTGGAACCGCTCGTCCCGGCCGTGCTGCGCTCGTCCCGGCTCCCCCCCCCCTCCAAGTCGGCCCTCTTGGGCCGTCTTGGGGACCTCTTGGGCCGTCTTGGGGCCGTCTTGGGCCGTCTGGAGGCCGTCTTGGGGGCCTCTTGGGCCATTTTGGGGCTATCTTTGGAGCCTTTTTGCCCGTCTTGGAGCGTCGGACAGCCGGAAAGGCGGAGAAGCAAAAAACGTCGAAAAACACGCTGGAAAATCAACAATTTTAGACTCTTTGGGCCCTCTTGGGAGGCTTGTTTGGGACCTCGGGGGCCGTCTTGGAGACCTCTTGGCCCGTCTTGGGGCCATCGTGGGCGTCTTGGAGCGGTCGTTTGGCGTCTCGGAGCCGTCGTGGGCCGTCTTGGAGGCCTCTTGGGGGCTTCTTGGCCCGTCTTGAGGCCCTCTTGGGCCCGGAAAAGCCCTGGAACCGCTCGTCCCGGCCGTGCTGCGCTCGTCCCGGCCCCCTCCCCCCCTCCAAATCGGCCCTCTTGGGCCGTCTTGGGGACCTCTTGGGCCGTCTTGGGGCCGTCTTGGGCCGTCTGGAGGCCGTCTTGGGGGCCTCTTGGGCCATCTTGGGGCTATCTTTGGGGCCTCTTTGGCCGTCTTGGAGCGTCGGGAAGCCGGAAAGGCGGGAAAGCAAGAAACGTCGAAAAACACTCGGGAAAATCACAATTTTAGACTCTTTGGGCCCTCTTGGGAGGCTTGTTTGGGACCTCGGAGGCCGTCTTGGAGACCTCTTGGCCCGTCTTGGGGCCATCGTGGGCGTCTTGGAGCGGTCGTTTGGCGTCTCGGAGCCGTCGTGGGCCGTCTTGGAGGCCTCTTGGGTGCTTCTTGGCCCGTCTTGAGGCCCTCTTGGGCCCAGAAAGCCCCGTGAGTCGCTCGTCCCGGACCCCCCCCGCTCGCGCTCGACCCCCCCCCCCCCCTCCAAATCGACCGGACCGGGCTCCCGGGGGAGGGGTTTGGGGAGGGGGAAGCATCTCACACGCCGATGATCCCCAAGGGGTCGGCGGATTATTGGACTATGAGAAGGTAAATTACCCCAGTGCGACCCTACCTAGAAGTTGGAGCCCCTAGGAAAGCAGCATTAGTTGCTATGCTATGCTATGCCATGCTACGCTGCGCTATGCTATGCTATGCTATGCTATGCTATGCTGCGCTATGCTATGCTATACTATGCTATGCTATGCTATGCTATGTCATGCTGCGCTGTGCTATGCTAATCTATGCTATGCTATGCTAAGCTGCCTGTCGCACATTGCTTTTGCTTCGCCTTTCCTTTGTTTTGCTTTTGTTTTTGTTTGTGCTTTGCTTTGCTTTGCGTTGCTTGTGCTTTGCTGCCGCTGCTGTTGGTTTGTCTTTGCTTTGCTGCTATGCTATGCTCTGCTCTGCTATGCTATGCTATGCTATGCTGCGCTGTGCTATGCTGTGCTGTGCTGTGCTGCGCTATGCTATGCTATGCTATGCTATGCTGCGCTGTGCTATGCTATGCTGGGCTATGCTAAGATATGCTGAGCTGCGCTATGCTATGCTACGCTATGCTATGCTATGCTGTCTTCTGCTATGCTAAATCTCAGCGAAGCTAAGATGAAGGTAAGCAAAGCTAAGAGAAACCTGAGTTAAGATGAAGCTAAGCTAAGCTAAGCTAAGCAGAGCCTAGGTAGGGAACATGCTCATCCCCTCGGTCAGCGCATGCCTTGGTATTTTTGCAGTTGGTTCATGCCCTCCCGGCCGGCTCTTGCTCCGCTGGTGAACCGTGCGAGCAATGGATTGATCAGAGGTCTAGCAGGGGAGGGCGATCACAAAGACGGGATCATTCTTCCGGAGCGCGTGCGACACGTATTTGCCTTCATGGCTTCGTCGAGCTTGGTCCTGGTCGCGCTGCTTCATCTGTTGCATTCGACATCCTTCGTTTGACAGCGTTAGCGTCCCTGTCAGAGGAAGGCTGGGGATAAGGGAACCACGGCGGTCAAACTATATTTTTAGCCACCAGACTGGGCTAACCCTATTGGTGACAGGGAAAGCCTGATGTGTGTTTAAATCGGCCTATGTTTTCACGGTGATCGTGAAGTATTTTCCGTCGCGTGCCCCCTGATTACCGCATCCTTCACATAAGCCCCAGCGTTCAAGCGATCCCAGATGATCTTGATCGATTACAAGTCTTTTCAAACCGAGTGAGATGGACGCCCAGACGGCGTACCAGACCATGTGGGCGGTGGTCATGGCAACCACCACAGCTGCCACCCAAGTGCGGCCAGTTCGGTATCAACACGTCGTCTCTGACGACGGCTATGTGATACAGGTATGCTGGGCTCATGGAGCGATCTACGGCTGGCTCAACCAGGGCTCTTCTTCCCAGGTGATTCAGTCGACGCCCAGCCCGACGCCTACCCGACAGCCACCCCGACGCCCTACCCCACGGCCCACGCCTTACCCGACGGCCAAATCGACGCCCCGTATGTAGTTTACATTGTCTCTTGGCAGGGATGGTGGGGGGCTCATCTTTCTCGGTTGGGGGCTGGTCAAGTGGGGGATGGATTTTAATCGATAAGGAAAAGTGGCGGGCGAACTTCTCCCCGAGGGGGAAGAACGGGGTTGAAAGACTGGGCTCGTAAAGCCACCTACGCCCAGAGGGTTGGTGGGACTCTTGCCACTGCTGTCAAGATTGTGACAACCTCTACCGCGGGATAGAACCGAGCGGCGATATCAACAGCGGTGAGGAGCGGACAATACCGGGGGAAAGAGAGACTCCCTCAGAGCCTGGAGTTCTCAGGGCAAGGGGTGGTCAGGGGAAACTCCTGATTCGGGCCTTGCGTTGTCGCACTTGAGGTTCCCCAGATTGCTCTGACCCTGATGTTTCCCAGATCACCTTCTGCCCATCTAGATCTTGTCTGGTACGCTCCTGAAGCAGAAGTTATCTGGGACGAGGTGGTTGCATAGGTTTTCGAGGGGGGGAGGGGGAAATGGGGGCGGTCACGTCACGATTTGCGCCGGCGCCGTATGGGAATGCCTAATTGCTAACTCCCAGACGGCGCTGGCGCGAATC